ATTCTTAGATTTTATTTAAATCATCCATACGTACTACAACTGGAATTAGAAGATGAATTTTTTTTTAGTATTGTTAGAAAAATCAGACGAGGAGCAGACTGTGAATAAAATAGAGTTGGAACTCGGAAGGGAGGTGATAAATAAAATATAAGAGACAAATAATTTTTTTTATATATTTAATGTCATATTTATATATTAATTTTTGTAAACTGGCACTGAGTGATGCTACATTTATTATTAGGTTATTTGATCTGATGGGGTAGTACAGTAGAAGGAGACTTTGCCTTTCTGGTGTTCTGCAGCTTGAGTTTACGTCAGGGTGCGTCTTCAAGTGGCAGCCGTGGCGACAGTACAAATAGTCGTCACCAACTTGGAATGTTCTTCTCGACAGACAAACATCTTGAAACCCTTTGTGAAGACGCCAGTCCGGTATTTCGTGGAAATGTTCCCTTGGCTCTGTGCTGCATTCTGTCTTTTGTTGACTCACTGCAGACGTTGAAAATAAAGAAAGAAAAAGGATAACTTAATCTACAGATCTACATTTCAGCAGATATCAAAAGTTTAGCTCAATAACTACAAATCTAGAGGATGCAATGCATTTGTTCTGTATAGAAGATAGGATCATTAATATTTTATTTTGATGTGAAATTTGTGTGGGATAAGGCAATGTGTACAGTTTCATTTTATGTACAAGAAATAAGAAATATCGACGGGCTTGGTTTAACACTTGTTTGAAAACTGAGGTAGTTGCCCCCTATGTGAAAACTGAGGTAGATGCTATACATACATTAGCAAAATATTTTGGAACGAGGAAGTAAAATAAATTTTAGTACAATTTTTTTTAATTGATGAAGTAGCTAATAACAAGGTGGAAAATTGCACTAGTACTATAGAATTAAAAAAATATATTAAGGTAGTCGTATAATTATAATATGTAAATTGTGAAATGAAATCAGTAATATTTTAATGGAATGGGTACTAAATAAATATTACGTGGGATGAAAGTGGCGCTACTGGACGGAAAAAGTCGGCGTTATGTGGACACAGTCATTTGTTTAGAGAATTCAACAAGTAATTTTTTTAATATATTTTGTATTCGAGGTCCCAGGTTCGAAACTCGTCCTGGATATAGAATATTATATATCAAATCTAAAACTTCTTGACGATGGTGAAGAGTCAGTTGAATAAAAATTTCCTTGGATATTATCCATCGTCTAATAAAATATAAAATGAAAAACGTAAAACGACGTTTCGGAGATGGGACTCTATCTCCGTCTTCAGGTTCCTACACAGTTGGGCCCACTAGATAGAGCTAATCCCTATATCCGGACGTTTTTTTATTTACTAGACGATGGATAATATCCAAGGAAATTTTATTCAATAGAATATTATAGTCGGATATTTCGTGTTTTAGTGAGATTTTAGTAATTTACAAAAGATAATAAATAGAAATTAAGGGAGGAATATAAATGCAGTGTGGTGCAGCAGAACGTATGTCAATTATGTTCCATTTTAAAGAGTTCCCACTGTCGCCATTTTGCAATGTGGAGAGAGAGAAAATGTTCTAAGACGGAGTGTAGTATGTTTTTAAACCGAACTGCATGGAACACAATGTATTACTGAAGTCTGAATTTAAATTGGAGTACGTGCAGATAATAACAGGTCTTTATTACAGCTCCCCAAAAAGGAATTGGTTTCCTGCAGGAACCTACAGACATATGAAGATCATAGATCAGTATGTAAAACAAAAAAAAAGTATTTACTTTGTGTTGGACACGAAACGATTGTCACATAACATCTGTAGCTATTATGTACCAACAGAGATTACATCTCTTAGGGCAGCCATAAAGTGTAATGTAGAAGTGTCGAAACGTGTAGCTCGTTTGCAAATAGAATACTTCGTCATTAAGCTTGTGATGTGATGTGATGTCATTTAATGCTCTGCTATAAATTCAGACAAACACGTTGGTACTATGCACTTATCTTTCGCATGATTTTAACTAGAGGAATTTAAACTGGTGAAATTCATCTTAAACTTCTGAAGCAAAATTACAATTTGGAGTAATATTTTTCGAACTATAGAAACAAAATTTGGATGATTTGGATAGGACATGGAATGAATTTTACTTACAGACGAGGTAAAAAATGTATATACGTTTTTGGTATGAAGATTTCACAAGGGAAAAACCACTTTAAAAACTTAAATATCTGTGGGAATATATTTAAATCGATTTTTAAGAAATTTGCCAGTTGTAATATTCTGTGTTGTGACGATATTTTGTCTTGCGAGTGGTTTTATTTTATCGTGAAGATGGAAGCGATATGTTACTACGAAACGTTTATAATTCCCTACAGTGTTATACTGCTCGATACACAGTTCGACATCTTCAGTGCCTCGAGAAGTCTTAAACGAATAAGACTTGAACTGGGCAGTATTCAAATGGCTCCGGGCAGCTTCAATTGGCGGATTTTTATGAGTGCAATAAATACCCTAAACGTAATTAATATCCAGTTCCTGCAAAAATCTGGGATACTGTTGATTCGCTAAGCATGTAGTACGCACAGGGTAGGCGAAATATACACACATGGTTTTAGTCAAAATATTATGGAGTGAGTGAGAGATGTAAGGGTGATATTAAAATCGATTTTAAAGTATTTTAGTGTGAGGGTATGGACTGGATTAAACTGGCGCAGGATAGAACTCAGAGTAAATTTTCTTTAGACTTTTATTTTTGTTAGGGATTCTATTATGACAAAGAGCAGTATCACCTGTGATTACACTGATCATGGAACTAAATCTTGTGGATACATCTCTTCGTAATTTGTTTAAAGAGCTTGTGATAAGATGGCAGACATTTTTATTCCACATTTAAAGCAAAACAAATTCTTGTCGCTTGCTGTAACTTGTACCTTGAGGCTGTTTCAAAATCTGCGAGTAGATCCTGTTAATTATAATAATTTAATAAGCATAAACCACTGCATAATTTGGAGCTATTTTGAGCACAACACAGTGAAATATCTAGTGTTTAATGAATAATTAATAATGTAGCCTGGCCTTCGTCTTTTTATCTGAGGTAATTTTTGTATTTTGCTGTCATAATGTCATATTCTGCTCCATTTTAATAATGTGGTAATTATTGTTTTCTGTACAGTCAACTGGTTTGACTGGGTGAGATATATAAATATCACATAAGCTTGTTATTTCATAATGTAAGTGGTATTAATGGAAACCGGACAGTTGATCTAAACATTCTTGTTTTAGTTAAAAAGTCCGCATATTCACATTCTTGTTTTAGTTAAAAAGTCCGCGTCTCTTTTTGGAACTCACTCACTAAAGGCAGCAAACATTTATCTATGCTTTGGGCGTGCAACACTGAATACTCCAGTGGGAGCACATGAGCAAATACAATGTATTCTAATGTTAAATTTGTAGGTTTTACCTGTGTGTTATTTTTCGTCAACCTACAATGGGTTTCTTTAATTTTACATCATTATTTGTAGACTATGCCATGCATTACTTGTCTGCAGTAGGGTTTATTAACCTCGTCTTACTGTGGTTTCCTATTGAATCACAATACTTCGAATTTTATTTCTTGAAATTTCTAGAATCTTGTTACTACGTTTTGGTGACATTATTTTTTGTTTTCTTAAAGTAGAATGCCAACTGAATTAAGTCAGTGACTGTGACATTGTGTCTGACAACAAGCAGAATTATAAAGTATAATCACAGAAATACATAATAAAAGACGAAATTTATTCATTCGAAAATTAAAGGTACTAGGACACACTTTTGGCATAATATTTTCTGGCACACGGCAGAACGTAGTTGGTTATAAAATTTGTGTTGCGAAATGTTCCAGATAAATTACTCTGTGACTCATGACAATTTTTATTAGTGAGATTTTTATTTGTTCAAAATTCTGGCATGATTTTACGAATAATAATAATACCCTATAAATTTGTGATCACCGAACGCGGGAGAGAATGGATATTGCTCACACTTGATTTTTGTGTGTTCCAAACAGAACATCGCTGGTGAACTGTTTTATAACATTTTATTTCATAAGATAAACATATCTTGAGAAATTGAAGGAGAATTCTATGTAAAATTTACAATGGATTTCCTTATCATATTTACAATTTTATTTTGATTAAATGAGACTAAAACGGATATTTTTTTTTGAAAAATTAGTTTCTAAGAAGGAAATTTTGCAATTATATTTGTTACGAAAACAAAAATTTGACTTAATACGAATATATCAGATAATAGTTATGTGATTTCAGAATAACAAACAATCTGTTAAAAATTTTGATTGTGATTTTTTTTAAATTACTGACGACTGAGCCCTCTGAAGGAACAAAAGAACAGATGCACGTTCATTACCGTACGACAGATGGTTTCAGACATCTTAAGACGCTTTACAGCAAGTGTTGCTCTCAACCCAGTTTTACAGTAACTACCCTGTTCTCCTCGTTTGTTGGAAGCTGCACTTAAAGACTAGTCCAAAGTCTCAGACCAGTTTTTTTTTTTTAACAGTTTGATTTACGTGAGTCAAATTGAAAGAGATTATTTTGGCTGTGTATCAGTTACACGGTTCAGATAGCCATTGTCTGATTTACATACACACTGTATAATAGGGATATGTGAAGACGAGAGTAATTTTCGGTCCTATTCGATTCGATAAAACTGGGAGCGTCACAGGAGAGCCATGCCACCGAGCAATTAGTTCAGTTGTCGTGACTGCCTCATGATAGGGCAACATGAATGTTTCATTACAGCGCAGTCTTACAAAAGAAAGCGTTGATTCCTTTTGAACGTAAGGAAATACATAGCACTCGCCATTATATTTGATTTGCTTTGTTTCTAAGACGTGTGTTTATACTTGCTTCTAGGCTTATGGTGTCGGTTACAGATGATAGCTTTGGTCTGATTTCTTTTGTTTAACGACGTATTTATGAATTGTAAGACTCGTGTGGTTTTTGTTTGTTTTGTTTTGCAGTAAGATGATCACTGGTCCTGAAGAAGTAATTTGTCTGCATTTTTCGCTCACCGTCAGCACCCATTATGCGTTGTTGGTACACTGCACATAAATCAAACGTATAATGTAAGTATTGTGTCCACTGCCATTTTTACTAACCATATATTTCATTTTTCAAACCTATTGACTGATCTGAAAAGTGTATTTTGTCGGTAGTGTACAATGAAAGTTGTTAGCAACATATAATTTTGCTCCAAAAGTCTCTCCTATAAGATCTGTACATTACATGAAACCCAACATTAACTCAAACATTTAAAAAAAAACAAAAAAAACATACCGTTTAATAATTTTACTGTGCATGACATAAAATGTGTCCCTGTACACTTCTGAAACGTAATAAGTGAAATAAATACTAATAATAATTATTTTGTAACTTAAATGCGTCATGTTTGTGTTGATCAAATATATATTTATTTTCACAGTCTATACACAAACGTTGTAATTAAATGATGTTGTTAAAATTATAACGTTTGTGTATAGACTGTAAAAATAAATATATAATAATAATTAGTATTTGAGGTTTTTACAGCGGGGTACGAAGATGGCTGTCTTCTGGGTTGTAGCGACTTGTAGTCTGATGGAAGTTTGCCGACGTTTCAGGGGTTTTTGCTGCCTCCATCATGAGTGATACTAATCGTAACAGGCACCTCTGAAACGTCGGTAAACTTCTATCAGACTACACGCCTCAGAAACTCAGAAGGCAGCCGGCGACATACTCGCTTTTATGATAACCTACAATCTCAACGTACGGGAGGGTTTTTAACAGAGCCTAACTCTTATTTCAGGTTTTATGCAGTGTAGTGAACTTTTCACCATCAACAGAACTTGGGAGATCAACTTCGTCTTGATCAGAGGGATACATCTTGCACTCGGCAGAGGAATGGGCAACTGATCGAGTATTTGATAAGTACAAACGTTTCTTTTAATTGTCGGTAATGTACTTAATATTTGTGATGTCATAGATTTGTTGATTAAACATCAAGAATTTTTTATTTAGGGAGCACTCACCACAATTGTAAGGCCTTCATCAGACAAGTTTTTTTGAATATCACAAACATAATGTTTAGATTTCATAAAGGAATGCAGGATTACGTCTTATAAACATCGATATTTGGGGCACTTTGTGAAATAGTTGTTATTAGTTATGGAGCGAGCCATCTTTACTGCGAAACACCGTGTTTGCTTTGTTCCTATCTCAATATTACGTGTAACACTGAATAGGGTAATGATAACTCAGTCCTTACAAATTATAATAATGTTTCATAGAGGAGATACTGCTAACGGATAGATGATTGACAGCAAAGCTTCTTATTCTTAAAGATTATTCCTCAGTACGAATATTAGTTACTACACTTGGGTCACTGGATTTTTAGAATGTGAGACGAGACTTCGACCATCTTACGTGATACGTATTTTCCGGTACTCACAGGTTTCGTAGACCGACCTTGTAGAAGAAAATCAATTCTGTCTGAAACGAATTTGAATCTGGAGAATCATGTGATTAGATGGTATTGTCTAAGATTTGAAGTTATTTTGGCAGTAAAGATGTGTAAATTTGTTAAGACTTTGTGATCTTGTACGTGGTTACAAAAGTTTAAGAAGGAAAACTTATCACATACATCTTTAAAATAGAATTCTAAAGATGCTCCCTTAAAACGGACGCGATTTGTTTCACTGGAAATGTGAATGCCTCGCAACGCTACTTGTTACGTAAAAAATGTAAAGTTTAAAGTTTGTTGTTTTGCACCGGTGAGAAAACATTGTCCCTCACGTTTGGATGGTGGGCATGGAGGAAATGATAAATGTGCACAAAATTTTGGTTGGAATGTCTGATACGATTCGTAAGACTAAAACGTAGGCGGGAAGATAATATTAAAATAGATTTTAGGGGAAATGGATGTGGGACTTGAGGATTGGATGCATCTCTCTCGGAACAGGGACTGAAGAGGGGGATTTTGTGAACACGTTAATGGACTTTCGGGGGTACATAATTTATTGACATTTTCTTGACTAGTTGAGTGTTCTAACAGATTCTCAATAAATATTCTGTTTTATAGAGTTGATTAGGTGGTAGCGTAGTTGTAAAATATGACGTCTTATCCTGGAATGTTAATACGTAGAAAGGTAGGATAGATTAAGGGGTTTTAAAGTGGATTTATCTTTACTGGTTGTAATCGACGGTAGACCAGATCACCAGTTTTTGTAACCGACACGTAGGTGTTATGATGAAAGTAACTTTGTTGTATATAGACGATAAGATTTTCAGTAATGCTATGATAATTTACCAGTTAATGACACTCACTTTTTAGGGACTCAGAAAATAATGAAATATAATAAAAAAAAAGTAACGCGTTTGAGAACACGGCGAATGTGTAGTCAGTTTTCTTTTGTTCGTAAGCAAACTTGTCGGTGAAAAATACAGTAAACATTTAGTGGATGGGTTTTAATGTGAGAGCCACTGATGCCCGTGGACACACACAGTGTTGACAATGAGCTTTGTAGTGGAGCCTTCAACATTTGTTTGACTTAGTCCATACTCGCGAGAGCTTCCTGGCGCCAGAGCCACCCAACATCAGACCCCATCGCTGGGGGGGGGGGGGGGTCGTCTTCTCGTAGGAGGATGCTTCTAGTGGCTGCGATGACACTTCGCACGATTGCCATCAACAAATGTACTTTCACCTCCGATTTCGGGAATCACTGCAAATGTTCGCTTTCTCAAACTGACGTCTACAAATTTCAGCTTTTGAATAAAAAAAGGAAAATTAAGGCCGTTTGGGCTTGTAGGTAGATACAGACGTTTCGTAGGAACACACTGCCTCAATCTTCAGGGTAACAGGTCTAATGAGATAAGTAGTAGTATTTTGTTTCTGTCCTGTGAGTATCGTGAACTCTTTCCACGGAGATGAGGTAAACATATTTCAAAGATGACCTCTTATTCTTATCAAGCGTCAAGACAAAGAGGAGATGGATATTTGACTCAACGCGTACACAAATTAATGAATTGTCGTAGAAACTTCAAAATAACCGATTCCATTGCTACTTCATACAATACATATATAACTTATACGTACCCAGGGTTGACCCCGGGTCTCTGAATTAAGGAGACAGCGTCTAGTCATCTGAGCTATGTTACGTGTGCTATAATATCACTAATTAATGTAAGCAGTCTCTTCAAAAGAGACGTAAAAGGATGGAAGAATGGAATTCAATGTCATATAACATTACTGGAGGCGCGTTAGTGGTTTGATGGTGCTAAAATCCAGTTCGCGTTATGTCTTCATTGTGTTTTGTACACGACGTGTTAACACCCTTTGGGTTATAAAGTGATAAAAAAGATTTAATGAACAGGTCTCTCACTATAGCTTTAATATTTAATAGACAAAAAGTGACACTTTCCAAAAGTAAGTGTGTGTGTGTGTGTGTGTGTGTTATAACTATTCAACACTTGGTGCTGGGGGCTGCTGTTTTAATGTGCACGCGAGGTTTTGTCAGTCACTCGGAACACAAAATATCTCCAGGTCAGATATGTCTCTATTGTAAGACTCAAATAGCACGGCTATTCATTGAGCAATACAAACGTTTTCCACGTGTCAAAATCCCCTACGAAACACAATTTTCAGAGCAAGAAATTGTAGCCAGAATGTTCCTGCTTACTCAGGGTGTCGCTGTGGGCAGCCGACTAAATCTTTATAATACATACTGGAGACACCGTCATTGCTTCTTAGCTTTACAATTCGAAGTTCTGAGGTGAAAGACAAACACTTCAAGAAATTATTCACGGGCCTATGTTTCATATAAATAGGTCGAAAATTAAACTATTAATATTTAAAGCTTTCACGACGCATTAATATTATAGAATTCTCTAGGGCTATCAGTCATATTAATGACGAATCAAAAAGCAAGATTTCATAAACTAGATCTGTCTTCATCATCAGCGTCACCAACCCTGATGGAGTCTCCAGACCGTTAGTTTTTGATTCAAAATTGACTATGAAAAAAGCCTGAAGACTATTTTATACCATATCCGTTTAAGTTCTGTGTGAATTTTATAATATCGATACGTATTTTTTGTAAGTATTTAAAGGGACGTACATTGTGCCTTATATTTTTGAGCAGGCGCTTTGAAAACACAATTTTCTTTCGGCTGAGCTGCTTACATCTGACGTCCCTAAGTCTAAAACGAGATCGGGGCGCCGCTCTGGACCGTCCTGGTTGGACTACAGCCCCGGTAGCAGTCTGATGTCTTGCAGCAGTCCGACTCTGCAAGACTTTGCTTTGGAAACTCGTTTGTAATTAAGGGCCTGTTGTCCGACAGCGCTGCCATGCTCTAATGACCACTAAACCTGGATGAAGGAGACTGTTCTTATCTGGAGCGTTAATCGACAATCAATTCGATAATGTGCCATTAGAACAAGGGAACTGGGTCCCACGGCTCAACAAAAACACTTCCAAGAAGTTCTATTCACCTGAAAATACAAAACGCACTGCAGACGAGATTATATCTACAATCATTGCACATCTGCGGCAGTAATATCCGGGCATTTTTTATATATTGTTATTAGTGGCCGGGAATTAGAATCATTCCCTATTGTATCACCGCGTAATATATTTTAGAGTTTGTTGAGTGTTTATTATCTTGAGGGTATCAGCTTTGATTTCAGGTTTTTCAATATATTTTTTGCAGTTATAATGACATTGCGTCAACTACTGATGTTATGAAGCGTAGGAAACTGGATGTAAGTTGATTCTGGATGTTCACGGAGTCATTCTGGGACGTCTTTAATTACTTCTATATGAATATGAAGGCAATCAGAATAAATTAGTGACTACATAACTTAGCAGTCAAAGTGTGTGGAGCTTAGGTTTTATATTTCTATTGGTTTAACCGGAGTAGATATGTAGTCTGGACATTACGAAAATGTCGTGATAAAATCAAAAAGAAACATTATCTGTCCATTTGTTTCAATTTTGTACATATTTAATTTAGGAAGGGATTAATGTACAATACGAATATTATTATTACATTCGATATGTACTACCCATAAAGCAATTTGTGCTAATTAAAATGTGTTTTAACAAAACCTACGATTAAGTCTATAAGTAAGGACTTAAGTAAAATTAAATATTTTGTAACAGATAATGAAGGTCAGATTAAATTTGGACAGTGCTTAAAATGTTAAAAATTGCCATATAATTAAGTCTGCGATGTGCCTGCTTTGTTTTAAGTTTGTATTGGCTTAAAACGCGGTCTGCTACATTAGGATAATATAGCAAGTTGATGATATCCGAGAACAGGGCTGATCCTTGGCAACTGCAGAAGTTATAAAGCTTCTAAGGCCTTTGAAGATGCGCGTTATCCTGATATTGAAGAAATACACGACATAACTGAAGAGCGTGGGCGTTATGTTTCACCTCCCAGCATAAATTTATGCTTGACCGTCGTCATAAATGCTGCACAGTGACTCAGAATGGCTGATTAAAATTCTACTGTACTAGTTTAAGTCAGTCTTCGTCGCCATGTGGGTTCTTCACTCGCTAATTGTGACAATTACTTTTTCCATCATGTCGTCCAGAACAGCAGAAGTTTTACTGTCAGAACAAGAAGCAATCTTGACAGCAAATTAAAGCAGACTAGTTTACATCGCTGTAAACTGAACGCGGAGTTATCTTTATGAAAGTTGCCTGATGTTGCGGTAGGGACAAGTATTTGTAGAAAGGTACATAACCAGTGCGGGTATTTCTTAATATTTAATATGTCATATCATATCATGTAAGTATGACAAATCATAATCATGTCCAGACTTCTGATCTCTGACCCTGACAGCCTTGCTCTCAAAACCGGACTGCTACCAACTGGTTCACGTTACTTTCGAAATGCAAACTTGGAGTTGTTTGACGTGTGAAATGCAAATATTTGTATCTGGTTAAAAGGATCTTACCTTCCAGGATCAACCGCTCGGTAGGCTATATACTGACGGGCTACGGGCTTAGTTGACCGAGGTTTGAATCCCTGAACGAGAAGGACTTTCCACCCCCGCCAACACGTCCACACAGTCTCCTGTTAAATAAGTTTTAGGGTGGGGACCCTCCGATTGTTCTGTTAACAGTTTTTGCAGACCGCAGCGTTCATTTATGACATCGAAGGCTCTCACAGTGGTAAAGATCCGTGTTGTGGTCATCTGGGTTTTAATTCAGTAACTCACATGGAAAGAGCGGATAAAGTACATTTCTTTCACCTTTGTTTTAAAAGCATTGACTTAATCGGATCAAAGAAAAGTTCGACATATCTCGTCGTATGTAATTCGGTTAAGTTCATGTCACATGAGAGGCTTATGGACATGGCTTCTTGCTGTCTTTAAAATATAATTTCACTGCACGATGGGCGGATCAGGGGGCGTGAATGTACAGAGGACGGCTGAAAGTGGGTGGGGTGGCTTTGAGAAAGGCTGTCTAATGATCACAGAGAGAATGTTTTGATATGCTGAGGAGGTGAAAGTAGGTCCACCAATCGCAGGATGGTGGGGGGAAAAATGAGAGCATTGCAGCATCATAGAAAGAATTTTTAATGGCGCTGTCACGTGAGTGGATTTAGTTAGTTTATTTAACGACGTTACCTTATCTGCGTAAATTATACGTTATGGATGTAAAACTGAATGGTTTAGTGGACGATGAATTGGCAAGGATGTAGAAGGAAGGAGAGATGAATTTTACCCAGGATTTGTACCAGAATTTGGCCGGGAAAAAATTAGAATAACCAAGAGCTTTGTTTGGGTTTCTTGCTAACAGATTCGCCACCGTCAGAAATTAATATCTTTTCGCATCGCAAGAACGACACTCCTGCAGTAAAGCCTGACGGACATTGGCCATTATATTTTGGAGTGGATTTAAGACACCGACTTCAAATTACGCGTTGATGCTTAGAATTTTTATGGACTCCAGCGGTTGATATAAAAAACATAGAAGAATGTCACCTTCAAGTTCTTGTTTATAACTATATCTTACAGTGTTTATTACTTTGAAGGTTTCATCGTGATAACTGAATGGACGGTTCATTTAAACGCAGTATAAATTGGGGTGTCCGTCAATTGGGGGTCTTATATAAGAATGAAATTCTTTGTCAGGAGACGCGTTTTCATTGTTCTGTATAATAACAGTGATGAGAGTGCAGAAAATGTTTTACCGTGGCGCCGTCATTTCACCGGAGGCTTTAAGAGCGGTCTATATAAATACATTTTGACATTCTTAAACGAATTCGTTATTTCTTATGAAATTCATAAAAAATGGAGACTCATAATGAAATGATCTCTTCCGTCCGCCCCAAACCACCTGTAATGTAAGTTCAAGAGAATTTGCAAACCACCTCCCGTCTCCGAAATTGCTCAGCAACTTAGTAACCTGTAATGTAAGTTCAAGAGAATTTGTTTTTGAGTTATACCGATCTGCACGTCAGTCCATGGAGCAGAGTACTTGATAAACTGATAGTCGCTCAGATAGTTAATAACTTCCATGACTTTTATGGTACTCGAATTTTCATGATCATGTTTACAAGTCTCAACACCGGTCCCTATTCTGAGTGACATGAATGCAGGCCGTGATATCCCACCCTTTTTCTTGAAGATACATTTTCTGTGCCTATGTCTAGTCATCTCTTAGTTTTTCCCATCAAACTTTCTTCAAGTCAGTATGATTTTTTTTATAAAGGTGATTTACTGCACAGGATATTACTAAAGTTTTCTGTCATGAAGTATAGAGCTGAGTTATTTCACTCTATATTCTGGTAGCAGTTAACCGACGCATTAGTTTTCCCATTTTACACTCGACAACATGTTATGCGAGTGTGGTTTACCGACGTTTCAGGAAATTACAGTAGTAATAAAATCCAGCTTAAAATATTCCGTCCATTTAATAAAAATGCCTGTAAAAGAGAAAGTCAAGATTATGTTCTTGTATAATAAGCCGTTTTTGTATCATCTCTAAAATACTATTCGCGAGAATTGTGCTTCTCCGTCCTGATATGGAAATGGGTAATATTGAAAAGTGAAAGTTGGCAAGATAATAATATGATTGTCTAGTTGGGGGCTAGCAGTGTTTGTGGCGACCTCTGCCAAGTTACTTTCCTGCGTGACTTTTAAATGCCTCTTGCAGTGGTCTGTACCAAAACTATTAGTCGAATTATATGCTGGACAGGGAAGTAAATTTCCACAATCTACAGTGTTCCTAACCACCAGATGGTTAACTGCCTACTACTGTACCCCAGAAACTTTCTTCCAGTATTCTTGAGACTGCTAGGACCACATATTTATTCAAAGAGAGGAGATAAAGGTCGAAATAATTCTGTCCAAACTTTCTAAAAAGTGGCCAGGTACAGTGACTCTTGAGTTTATTATATAAGAGAACAGCATTTTGCTTTAAAGATGCATATATTAATAATGTCTGCAGGTGGGTTAAAATTTGAACTGACTACTATAACTGAAATTGACGAGACTACTTCGATATCATCGCTTATGGAACCACTAAACTTTCCAGCTATCTGATTTTACTGTTTACGACAAATGACAACTTTCTGACAGATATTACCTTAAGCAGGTTCAGTAGCCGGAAGTTAAGAGCCTGGCTAAAGTAAAGTCGTCACAGACGATCATTAATCGCGATGACTTCAAGACGTTCGGTTCGAAACTCGGCCGGGATACCCGTTATCCTGAGTGAGATGTCTCGTGATGTTTCAGTCTGTCCAGCTGATTGACAAACAATGGCCGTCTGAAGTCTTTATCTATAAGCCTATTACACAGCTTAACGTATTCACCTGAAGCAACATCTTCCCTTCTATAACTTCAGAATCAATCAGCTTTGGTTATAATTATTAGTACTGAAGAGTTCTATAGCTTCAGAATCAATCATCTTTGGTTATAATTATTAGTACTGAAGAAAATGTTGACCCAGTTACTAAAATTCAGTGTAATGATTTTATCAATATTAAGACAAAAACAATTGATCGAAAAATTACAGTTCTCAACAGCTGGATTTTGGTACATAAGCTGAACGTTAAATTATTTAAAAAATTAAGAAATATTATTTTAATATTTTAAACTTTATGTAACTTAAAGCTTGACAAGGGAATTATTTAAGGAACACTGATTAAACAGAGTTTTGTTGTTGATCGTTTTAAACTGTGTTAAGAAAAATTATCTTGATATGTGATAACTTAGTTGGTGACGTAACACATTCAATTGAAGTCGTCCTGAATATACAGTTAACTGATTTTCACAAAACATTGCATGTGATGCACCTTTCCTTGTTAGGTGACTAATGTTTTAATATTGTTTTATAAATTATTATCTCATGCAATTCAACCCTCATTAAAGAAAATTTCAACTGAAGACAGTTGCTTGACAATTTTCAGAATTATTCGAATTACACCTAAGAATTGAATTAAGAATTCGCATTTCGTAGAAAAGTTAAGATGGAAAAGAAATTGCCATTTTTTGGTACAATTTGTTATGAGAATTTCGCTAAAACAAGAAACCGAATAAAATATTTTAAAATTAGAAAAGAATTATAGTTAGACGACGTCATTTATTAGAGATGGCCTCCCTTACCGATGGAATTTATAGAAATAAGAAATTATAAGTTTTATCATAACTGCCAGTCACAAATTACACATGTCGAAAATTCTATCTCCACTGGACACTTACTTCTAAATATGGAAGAGGTTTGTGATGTCATGAGATTAGCAGGTGATCCAGATCAGGCGAGTCCAAGGAATCATCATCGAATACTAACAAGGCAGAGTGTTCTTCAGCCGCGTGCTCCTCGAAGTCTACGGGCGTCAGGCAATGTTGACTGAGGTCTGGGGACTGGAGTACCGGTGTTGAGAGGCACAGTTGAGAGTTTGGGGCGCAAGGATGTTGATGTTGAAGGCACTGTCGATCTACAGCTGGAGACAGCAGGCAGTGTCGGCTGTGACCGGCACAGGGATGGTTATCGCACAGGTTACCTGTTGAATCTGACGGAATACAATGAGTCGTAATGCCAAGCTCTGAAGATAGGATATTCTGGCTATGGTTACAAATTGTTCTTTGAATTTCAGGCGAGGAACTGATATTCTGACGATTGTTTTCTGGTGGAGGAGTAATCCTGTGTCGAATGTGGTCCGGCGAAGACATGCGTGTCAGGCTGACAGAAGTGAAGCATTGCTTCGTGAAATTTGGGGGAGTGCGGTCGGGAGGTGTAAGGCATTGTTCGCTGAACGTGAGCGATTCGCCATCCGAAATGAGTCGTAGACTACCATTACTACTGTTACTGCTACTGCTGATGGAATTTGGATGCTGAAGTGTCGGAGCTGGAACCTCGGACATGTGGATGAAACTGTCGGCCTGTTGCAGCGCTTGGCTCAAGGAGGCGATGTACTTCATGGCGAGTCTCAGCGTCGTAATCTTTGTGAGTTTCTCGCTTCCGATGCTGTCGTTCTGGCTCTGGTGAGCGGACGTCGAGATGTGAGGCACTGCGCGACGGAGCGTCTCGAAGGCGGCGTTGATCTCTCGCATTCGGTCTCTTTCTCGGGCGTTGGCCGTCTTGCGCCGATATTTGCTTAGGGGCGGTGGCTTCTGTTTCGGCCGGGAAGCTGACCCCGCTCCAGAATTAGCACCTCGCTTCGCACCTCCCGTGTGGTCAGAATCCTCCGATTCGGAGCGTCTCGGCAAGGATCGCGGTCTTAGTGAATATTTTTCGCCACTGTTGCCAGCCTTAATAGACGACTTCTCACTCTCCTTTACAGCAGATTTTTGTTTGTTATCAACGACAGAAAATGCTCCACCGTTGTTGTTATTGGAATCCAAGTGCAAGGCAGGGGCACGCGTTGCTGAATGCTGCTGTTCCTGTTGTAGACGTTGATGAGATGCGATGACGTCACTCACTACACTGTGCACTAAGGAACTCATCCTCACTCATACGGGCAATTCAATTTCCAGTTTATTACAGTTCCAGGTTTTACCTTAGATTGCTGTGTATTTCTTTTAATGTTACTGACCCTTGACGAAAAGTGACCCTGAGGCATCGGCCCGCGCGTGCTGAGGTTAACCTTGGCGGTCAGCTGCTTGTTTGTCCCTTCCGCCTAACGGCATAAAACGATTAGGTCCATAGATCGACAGCTCTTCATATCCATCAGGCACCTGCATTTTAAATATCACACATTTTTGACGTGTTTTACACAGTTTCGTGACAGGAACCACAGATACACAGCTTTTGATAAGTGATTTTCAGGTCTCAATTTATTCTGTATATTGGAAATATTATTTTTCACATGGGCGTAGTTTCGAAAAAAATATATTCGTTGTTAAAACGTTACATAAGAAGGAATGCAGCCCGTGTCGTTGCGCTCATTGACGACGTCTTGTTTGAACGCGCGCAGCGCTGTGGCAAGTAGCAGAACACTGCAAGTGACTGATGAGGCGTGAAACTCGACATCCGCACAAAAACACGGAGCTCGTTCAAATGCAACATCCAGCAGATCTTCACTAAATTGAATACATTAGGCACGTGCTCACCGCTTTTAAACTATACACGTCACAATTTTGAAGCACATAATGTCCTATAATACATCAGTCTCAAATTATCTTAGTATTTCCTAAAACGAAAAATAGCCACTATTAACACCACATCACTCACGTGCACTTTAGGAAAATTCGTTTTTCTGCTTCGTAATTCACAATGTCATTGTTTTCTGGAAAAGAATCATTATGTCGGAAATATTTACCATTCTTATTCTATTTCTCATGACTTTTCTACGTCGTACATATTACACGTAAAAGATGTTTCCTTTTTGGGGACAAATTTCGTACACGGGATTTGATGTGCAAAGTTCATGTCTTATTCTAGCGTCGGAATCTCCACTTCATTTTTACTTTCGAAACCACAAGCCGCTATGCAGTGCCGCGTCTACACATTTTTCAAATGTTGCGATAAAAGTTATCTCCATTGAGACCGACACTATACGCACCTCTCTTGGTCAATGGACCAGCGGTGACTGACAAGATATCCAAGAAGCCAGCATAGCCAACCATAGGATGCTGAGTGACTACTCCGTAGTATGAGAACTGGAGCTAAGAGTTTTAGCTGGACGGTGCTGCCACTTAGCGGCCGAGACCGGAATCTCAGCTAAGCTAACTTGATTTGATGTTTTGATAGCATTTCACGTTTTTAACTGATAAACTATTGTTCTTGAAGCGTATGTATAACGATGAGGAACAATATCTCTTTTTAAAGGGCTTTGTGTAAGATAAATTACACAACCATCAACAATAATTAGGTGTAAAATTCTAATTGAACTACATATAAAGTCTTACTTTTCAGTGATATTAATGTGAGAATACACAAGATTTAGAGCTCTTTCAATCAGAAGAATGTGAATATCAGCTTGTACATTCATTGGATTGCAGACCGGATGCATTCAGTTAGTACAGCTGATAATGAGAAGTACTGCTGCACCGAGGAGGGAACATTGTGCTTTTATAATACGACTCACGATCTTAACAAAATACCTTGGGCGTGATGCTAAAGCTTTAGATCTTTATTTATTCTCAAGATTTGGAAGGATGGAGGTAAATTATCTAGTTAAAACAAGGTGGCCGTTTATAGCACTTGTTTCTTTGTAAAGAACATTTGCGAATTTTAGCGATAAGGGAATCTCGCGTGGGAGAGTATCTGCAAATTTTTCTTAATACCATACCAAAAATTGATTCAATGTTTGGAGTCTGTATTCTGGTGGAGGTTGTGCCATTTTGTGTATGTGATGTGTCGGCCGAGGTTCTGCACGACCGATCTCGATATTCTAGAGACCGCGGCGCATGTACGCGATAAAAAAAATAAGCCTGCCCTTTTGAACTCTAGGACGGGATGGGCACTGAATTATAACCCTGTCTACCTTGTCAAGAAAATTTCAAGTTCTTGTACCCGCTCAAAGTCCTGGAGTTTACCCACTTGGATAACCAGTTAAGTAGTACTTTATTCAATCCCATCTTAGGGGAACATATTGAAGAATAAAATTGCAATTATCTTACTAATGTTGCAATGGAACTCGTTTCATATAAAGTGTTTTGTTTTATAATCAGTATTGTATTTACTTTTACGAGAAAGTAACTACGTAAGCCAGTCACATTATGGATCGGAGTACTTTTTTTTAGTTAAAATTACGTTAAGCCAGTCAGAAAAGTTAATCGGCTTTTATGGAATCGGGTAATTATTTGCAGTGTTTACAAGAACCCGACAGTTGATCCTATCCTGAGCCAGATGAGTTTGGTCCCACACCCTCGCAACAAATGTCTCTTAAGATAAATTATAAATTCATGTCTTAATCTCTAACCCTGGGGTTCGGTATCTTTTAGGCTGCTTAATCTGACCATGTAGTTGGATATGACGTGACGAACTACACATCTGTTCTCTTGCTTGCCTACTTAGATGTTATTTTGAATTGTAACGTGAAAATTATACCCAGTTTCAATGCGTATTTACATACAGGTGTCTACTGAAGGTGTACAGAAGAGGAAAGTCATTCTTATCATTTTATAACACTACTAGTCACATTAAGTGCAACAAGAAACTGCCATGACACACTTATTCTCTATACCAGTCATTAGACGGGGAGCAAAGTGTAACCAACGCAGACAACTAGTTCTCAAGCACCTTGTCACGAAGACTGAGTCCTCTCGCTTCACCAGGGACTTAAATAAATATACACATGTTCTTATTACACACAATGAAAACACGATGGTAAGTGCAAAGAGTGATCATCAGACAACATGAAAATATTTCTTCTTTCATGGTGCTTAGTTAAGCAAACGTACACTCCACCTATCTTAGCAAAGGCACAGACGTACGTGTTGCATTAATACGCGGTTTTAAAGATGTTGGATCCCGGTATAGATGCGCGAGTCTGTAATTAAAAATTAAAGATTTAGTTGACTTGGGTTATCAATCTAGTATTGGGCTGTTGTAAAGAAGGTAATGGACATCTTTATTCCATAAGAGGAGAGAAATTTATTGATGAAGATCAATTAATTGGGTAAATTAATCGATGCAGTGAAAATTCGAGCAAAGCACGTTTTGAGACACGTCACTAGTAATTAGTTATAGATAGGCTAACGACAGAATCGAGTTATTGCTGCAGGCACACGTAGTTTTAGTGGGATTTGTTAAGAGAGAGTTCTTCGCTTGTTTCGTGGTTGTGCCCAGCAAATATCTTCTTATAGGAAATACCCCTGAAACTCTGGTCGATGAATCTGATATTGAAACTGTTGAGTTTTGTCACGTAGGACTGCATGCACAGTACGACGAAGTTCTCGAATGGAGACGTGGACTGCTGTGTCTTGGCGAGAGCAGAGACACGGGCATGATCAGGCATTACTCTGGTCCAGTAAAGGGCGGGATGTGGTGGATTGTAAAGTAAGAAAGCTTTCACTCTTGCGTAAACGGGATCAACTGAACTGTGTGTCTGCTCTATGCCGTTAGCATTTCTTTGTTGCAAGGTGTAGGGCTATTACGCTTTCTGAGAAATTTTAGAAATTAGAAAGCAACTAATCGTCGAATTCTATATATTGGTCCAGTTCTCAGAAATATGGGACTTGAGCATTGTTTTGAAGTCCTATATTGTAGCTCACATATTAAGTTTCATTAATTAAAGCGAGCAGTATTCGAAAGAAGAAGTTGATAATTTTCTTGTAATATAAACGTTGGAATCAACTGTATACTTTTAGCAGGTCACGAAATGATAAATAATATTGGTCGTGCAGTTTGAGTGGTGGTGACTTATTGTGTTTTCTTTTACGTAAGAACTATATTTTTAAATATTATTTAGACGAATGTGGCTTCAAAGGACTAAGACACGATACGTTAAATAAGAGAAGAGTAATGTAATTGTGCGTAGTTTGATTTTTACATTTCCGGAAAATTTTTAATAGCCGATACACATTCGTAAAATGTCTGAATTAACGACGTTAAAATTAATTTATTATTTAACAAATGTTATACGTATTTATATATTCAAATTTATTTATATATATGTAAAAAGAAATATGTAGCGTGACATTTCGGTTAAATATTGCCTGTAGATTTTATATAGCGTTTATTAGATACTTATTAAAACGATAAAGCTTTATATTTTATTAATGACAAGTTAGAGATTTGGAATAGTGAGTACTTTTGTTTGGTAAATTGACAATGCCTGTATCTTGAGTCGCCTTTTAGTGACGCCCACTTCTTGTCTTAAATGAAATGCTGTAATTCTGTGAACCACTTAGGAGTCAGATTAAAAAAAAGAAATATAAAGTAACAAGGTACCAAACTGTTCACCCGTCGTTGCAAGTGAGAGCACTTGCAGGCGGGCAGGCAGGCCGCATCGCGCAAGACAGAAGCTTTGACTGTTACCTCATCTGAAGTCAGTCACTGGTCCAGCACGCGCAGCATCCTAGCTAGCACGGGCCGCACTCAGTCTGTGTGCAGTGGCCCATCGAGGCAGACCAGTTTGATAACTTCGCCAGCATTCGAGCAGTCCGCTCGGCCGGAGATACCAACGCGCGGGTACGACACAAACCTAACGCCACTCAGTCGGATGGAAGTGGTGGCGCTAGGAACATAGGACATTTTGAGTTTTCAGCATAAAACGTTTAAAGCAGATACTGAAATATACATTAGACTGCAAATGGCTGTGGAAATACACCCGTCGGTTGAGCTGTGTGAAGGACGGTGGTTCAGGCCTCAGCGGGCGAGTTGACAAGTGTTTCTAAACGTACTTTAAATCATCACGAGAGCTTCGTATGAGACAATGAACATATCCTTTGAAAGTTAAATCTCTTTTATATTATAAGAACGGTTGACTGGATCTGGAATTAGTTTACAATCAATATACAAAGTCTTTATTTATTTTTTGTTTAAATACGAGTTACATGACGGATTGGAAGAAATAGTTAAGACAGAAGTGAGACTATGAATTTTGACTGTTTTTTGTTGAAGTTTCATTTTCAAACTAAACACATTTTAAAGAGTTGACAAAAGTGTTCACAGTGTCTTTAAATAAGTTAATATTATGCATCGTGCCGACGTTATAAAAGTTACGGTAAGAGTAATGATTCGTGCAGTGTACTATCATGAAGTGAAAGTTGTATTGTGAATGGTGATATTAACCCGGACCGCCGCTTATATCGCCACTTTTATCTGGAACGGCGGTAGTCTACAACAAAAAAGGATTAAAAAATATTTAAGCCAGAAAGAGACGGTGTCATTCATTCTGCTTGTAGCTTCTGGTTTATTTAACAAGAATCTTGGCACAGCAGCAGAGTGACCCGGCGTCTGCATACAAGACGAAAACGATAATTTCGCGTGATGCAGTGTGAACATGACGTCCGCCTGCTGTATAAAATTTTTTTAAAAATAATTTAATATTCCTTTTAACATACTGTTCTTTTGACAAGGGAGAACAAGATAAGTAAAAACAAATTGTTATAAATGCTGCAGTATTATGTTTCTTGTTCCGCTC